CCAACAACATTTTTCACAGAAATAGAACAAAGAATTCTAAAATTTATATGGAACAACAAAAGACCCCCAAATAGGCAAAGGATTCCTGAGAAAAAAGAACAAAGCTAGAGGTATCACACTCCCTTATTTCAAAATACACTACAAAGCCATAGTAACCAAAACAGCATGGCACTGGCACAAAAACAGACACACAGATCAATGGAACAGAATTGAGAGCCCAGAAATAAACCCACACATTTATGGACAGCTAATATTCGACAAGGGAGCCAAGAGCATACAATGGAGAAAGGAGAGTCTCTTCAATAAATGGTGTTGGGAAAACTGGACAGCCACATGAAAAAGAATGAAAGTAGGCCATTACCTTACACCATGCACAAAAATAAACTCAGAATGGATTAAAGACTTGAATGTAAGACCCGAAACCATGAAACTTCTGGAACAAAACATAGGCAGTACGCTCTTTGACATTGGCCTTAGCAGTGTATTTTCAAGTACCATGTCTGACCGGGCAAGGGAAACAAAAGAAAAAAGAAACAAATGGGACTATATCAAACTAAAAATCTTCTGCACAGCAAAGGAAACCATCAACAAAATGAAAAGACAACCTAACAATTGGGAAAAGATATTTGCAAACCATATATCTTATAAAGGGTTAATATCCAAAATATACAAAGAACTCATACAGCTCAACAACAAAAAACCAACAATCCAACTACAAAATGGGCAAAGGATCTGAACAGAGATTTCTCCAAAGAAGATATACGGATGGCCATCAGGCATATGAAAAAATGTTCAACATCATTAGCTATTAGAGAAATGCAAATCAAAACTACAATGAGGTATCACCTCACTCCGGTCAGAATGGCTATACTTAACAAGACAGGAAACAACAAATGTTGGAGAGGATGTGGAGAGAAGGGAACCCTTGTACACTTCTGGTGGCAGTGCAAACTGGTGCAGCCAGTATGGAAAGCAGTATGGAGTATCCTCAGAAAATTAAGAATAGATCTACCATATGATCCAGCTATCCCACTGCTGGGTATTTATCCAAAGAACTTGAAAACGCAAAGGCATAAAGATACTTGCACCCCTATGTTCATTGCAGTATTATTTACAATAGCCAAGACTTGGAAGCAACCTAGGTGCCCATCAAGGGACGAATGGATAAAGAAGATGTGGTATTTATACACAATGGAATACTGCTCAGCCATAAGAAATGATGAAATCTGGCCATTTGTGATGACATGGATGGACCTTGAAAGTATTACGCTAAGTGAAATAAGTCAGAGGGAGAAAGTCAAATACCATATGATCTCACTCATAAGTAGAAGATAAAAACAATGACAAACAAACACACAGCATTGGAGATTGGATTGGTGGTTACCATAGAGGAAAGGGGGAGGGCAAAAGGGGTGATTAGGCTCACATGTGAGGGGATGGACTATAATTAGTTTTGGGTGGTAAACACAATGTAATCTACACAGAATTCAAAGTGTATTATGATGTACATCCGAAAGCTATATAATGTTATAATCCAATGTTACTGCAATTTAAAAATTTTTTTAAAATAATAATAACAAAAAGAAATTCTTGCAAGACTGGAAATGCGGCTCTAGAGTCAGTTCAGGTTCCACCCATTTCTCTTATCTCAAAGAGCTTGCAAACCCTCTAGGGAATATCTAGCCCATCACTAATTCCTAACACTAAAGAAAAAAATGGAAAGAGAAAAAAATGGTCATAAGAGCTCCCTTACCAAAAATCTAGCAGCTTGACTGTCTTCTCCACAAATATTAGTAAAAAGGCTTAAAACAAAATTTGGATTCATAACTAGGGAGCTTTGTATTACTGTACTTGATTCACGGCAGTAATTTTAAAACAATAGGTGTGGAGACTCTGTGTTTGTGTCTATATGTACGTTATATATGTGTGATATTTCACCTCTTGATGGTATGGCCAAAATTAAGAGCTCTGTGTAATTGGCTTAAAAGTAAGTGCTCACATAAATTCTAAGAATAGAAACTAACCCAAATGTCTTTTAAGTTAACGTGATGTAAATTAATCTTTGGTAAATGAAAGCTTATTTATATTTGTTGGTTTGATTAAAATTAAAATGGACACGTCCTCAGAGTTATCAGCACTGGCTGTGATGAAGGCATGAAGCCTTTATTCTATGCTTATTGGTCAAATAAGCTGATGTTATCTCTATTGCAAAACTGGTCAGCAGAAATAATAACTTAAAATAATGGCTAATTTTGTCTAATGTCTCATGAAGTTTTGTAGGCAATCTAAATAAATCTTGGGAATAAGTGAACTAAATAGATGTGTAAAAGATGTAAGTGTTGGGTGAACTTTTTAACAATAACTATGTTTTATGGCATGTGTATTTAAGATAACTTCCAAAATCTTTCTGGTAACTTGAAACTTTGAAGTTTTGCTAGGTGAAGTTAAATGATAAAAACTCATTGAATATCTGGGTCATTTTTCAAATAAGATAAAATACTGAAACATTATTGCTATACATGTCTAAATTTATCTACTTTTAGCTTCTTATTACAAAGAAACTGAAAGATGTTTGCGTCTATTAGTAAACATGTCTTGTATTTTTATTAAGATTGTACTATGCAGTAGCATGTTTCTAAAAATTATGAAAAGTATTCATAAATTTGCCAAATCACAGAGTGCTAATATAAAAGACAGTTCATAATTGCTTAGTTTTTTAGTTTTCACTGAGGTCTATAAGGGTTAAAAATTCTAGGGACTGGCCCCTAGGCCAAGTGGTTAAGTTCGGGTGCTCCTCTGCAGGCGGCCCAGTGTTTCGTTGGTTCGAATCCTGGGCACGGACATGGCACTGCTCATCAAACCACGCTGAGGCGGCGTCCCACATGCCACAACTAGAAGGACCCACAACGAAGAATATACAACTATGTACTGGGGGGCTTTGGGGAGAAAAAGGAAAAAAATAAAATCTGTAAAAAAAAATTCTAATTAATACAAGTAAACAAGTTGTTACAAAAATAATATATAATAATATAATAACATAATATTATAAAATGATATAATAAAAAATAAGCTGTTGCAAAAATTAAAATTTGGTTTTCTTTCTCTTAAAAGGGATAATTTTCTTAAACTCTTCGTCTGCTCTTTTTTTTTTAAGATTTTATTTTTTCCTTTTTCTCCCCAAAGCCCCCCAGTACATAGTTGTATATTCTAGCTGTGGGTCCTTCTAGTTGTGGCATGTGGGACGCCACCCCAGCGTGGTCTGATGAGCAGTGCCATGTCCGTGCCCAGGATTCGAACCAACGAAACACTGGGCCGCCTGCAGCGGGTGCGCGAACTCAACGACTCAGTCACGGGGGCAGCACCTCTTTGTCTGCTCTTGATAAAGAGGTTATAAAAGACTTTTCTTTCTTTTTGAGTAAGTTTATCTGAAAGACAGAAGATCTATGTTCTATTAAAATAATTTCCTATGTTCAGAAAGACTGAGGTCTCTTAATTAAGGTTTTTTGGACTATTTTAACTCTGTTTGCCCTTGACTGTTTCTGTTGTCACTTTGATCGAATGGATACCTGAGCGTTGTTTCATAGTGAGTTGTTTCCTATTTGAACACGTGTTTTAAAACCTTTTGATATTTTTGACAAGCTTCTCCCTCAAAAAATATTCAAATCCTGAATAAAGGCTTTCTTTTGACCTGGAAGAGGGAAGAAAATGTCTCTGAGAATTTTCAGAGGGCCCCTGGAACTTCTCAGAGAAATTTGTTCTCTCTCTCTTCCTATAAGGAGGAATATATTAAACTTATTAGGCTTATTAGGTGTGTTAAATCACATGGGAAGCATTGCCAAATAAGGGGTGATAAACCTTCATAGGTGGTATTATGTGGATAAATGTTATTGATATAAATATTTTAAAATTATATAATATTCCTAAAATTCTGATCTGTCCTGGTGGTCAGTTATAATTCTAGTTATTGTCTTGAACTGTTGTGTGTCACAGAAAAACCCAATGTTCCAGGAACACTTATATTTACCAGTAAGTATGTCATCTAGTAAGAAAATGGACAGGAATATAGATTTCTGTTTCACAGAAATAGAAATAGAAAAGGCTAAAAGGTGCTTAACTCCATTCATACTGAAAGAGATGCAAACAAACAATGAGATAGTTTTGTTTTTTTGGGGGGTTTTTTGGTTTTTTTTTTTGAGGAAGATTATCCCTGAGCTAACATCCACTGTCAATCTTCCTCTTTTTGCTGAGGAAGACTGGCCCTGAGCTAACATCCATGCCCATCTTCCTCTGCTTTACACGTGGGACGCCTGCCACAGCACGGCTTGCCAAGCGGTGTCACGTCTGCACCCGGGATCCGAACCGGCAAACCCAGGCGGCCAAAGCAGAACGTGCACACTTCACCGCTGTACCACCGGGCCGGCCCTGAAATAGTTTTGTTTTATTGACTGTCCAAAATATAAAATATTGATAAATATGAAATTAAATAAATTAAAAATTTCTTAAAAAGGAAGGAAATTCTGATACCTGCTAAATATGGATGTACCTTGAAGACATTATGCTAAGTGAAATAAGCTAGTTACAAAAAGACAAATATGGTACGATTCCACTTACATCAGGTGCCAAGAATAGGCAAATTCATAGAGACAGCATGTAGAATAGTGGTTGCCAGGAGGGGAGGGAGAATGAGGAGCTAGTGTTTAATGGGTACAGAGTTTCGGCTTGAGATGATGAAAAATACTGGCGGTGGAGACAGGCCACGATTTACTACCATATGCAATATGCACTTAGTGCAATCTTAAAAATGTTGATAATAGCTAGCTCAAGTTTTTATCTTCTCCTCTTACTTTTCCTTCCTTCCTTCTTTTTGCTTGTTTTCATTTTACTTACTTATTGTTATTTTCTAACATTTCTATAACAAAAATGTGACAAATATTTATTGAAAATTATTGTTAAAATAGATAGGGATTCTTGTGGAAGGAATGAAGGACACTAACCTCTTGTGAGCAACCTTCTATAGGTGAAGGCATTGGTTTTATTAATTTACTCCTCACAAAAGTCACATCAGGGACTCATTATGCGTGTTTACACCGGAGGCTCAATGAGGTTAGGTGTCTTGCACAAGGTCATGTAGCTAATACTCCCCAGAGCCAAGGAACAACCTCAGGCAAGCTTAACTCCAAGTCTGCTGCCAGGTCAGCACACGATACAGCTTAGGACTGTGGCCTTTCAAATTATTAAAGAGTCAGGTCCCAATTAAATCTCTAGTTAAAATTCCTCCCAGACAGTGTGGAGAAACATCGGCTGACGAGAGATATAAGATATCCATTTAACATTTTAAAAGATATCCAACATCCCTGGTAATTATAGAAATGCAAATAACAATGACATATTTTACTTTCATTAGCACAAAGATGAAAACTATTGACAGCATTTCTGTTGTTGAGAGTAGGAGTTGCTGCAGTCTTTCCAGAGAGCGACGGTGTCAGGAAGGAACGCCTTGAGATCTGAAGGAAGGGCTGGGAGTTTGACTCGGAGGGGGACTGGCGGGGTGGGCTCATCCAGGAATGTAACTTCCTCAGACAAGAGACAGAGGAGCTGAAAAAGAACTGAGAATACAAATGTGTTGTTTCAATAGCAACGGCAAAATTCATGTGAAAGCACTTTATGAACTGCGATGCTCCACTAATGGCTGGTATTTTATTAATTCTGGTAGCAGCGATCTGAATAGCTGAGACTCAAGGCCTGGGTATGGCGCTGCTTGCTCACCTGTAGATCTGAGACTGTCCTCAGGGCCGAGGAGTGGGAGGGATTCCTCGTTGTGATCACTGATCTCCAACGTCTCCAGAGCATTATGAACCTTCCTCCCTTGATTCTTCTCTCTGACTTATCTGCTAATCTGAGTTCTAGTCCTTCACGAGGAGAGTTACCACAGACACAGGCACCCTAGAACACAGACACCTGAAGCAATGGAAAATTCCATGGGTAACAGAAGTACTATGAAGGAGCTTTACTCAGAATAAGCCTCCAAAAAGCGGCAGGACAAATTTGACCTATGGCTTCAAAGAGGTCATTTCACCAAGAGCAGGAGCGGGCACTCCATTTCACCTGTCCTTTTCACGGCCTTGTTTTGGTGTCAATAGGAATGCAACTGCTACCACCACAAAGTGACTCCTTCCTTCCCTGAGTCTTTGTCTGGTGATGCTGAGGGATGGCAAAGGGCTGAGGGGTGGAGTGAAGACATCTAGTTTGTACATCACCTGGGAAACGAATATTTTGAAAGGGTGAGAGTTTGTAAACTTTCTAGAAAAAAACTTAGGTGAACATTTGGCTATCTTTCTAAAGAAAAACACCAAACATATATATGATATATACCATATATCTGTACCAAAGATACATATACGAAGATATAAATACATATGTATCTTTACCTTTATATGGTTTCTGTATACATATAGACACATACTGTATTTCTATATATGTATCTATATAGCTACAACTATATCTATATGCTCACTGATATAAGAAATGACATTAAAAGGTAAAAGATACCCCAAGGGGAAAATGTTGGGTTAAAATCCCTAATATAAGGCAGTTCTTGCCAAAATTTTAAAAAAAGAGAGATGAATATCTCAATAGAAAAATGGGCAAAGCTACAGGTAATTGACATACACATACAAATAAATGAAAAACTACGGCCATTTAACATTTTAAAAGATATCCAACATCCCTGGTAATTATAGAAATGCAAATAACAATGACATATTTTACTTTCATTAGCACAAAGATGAAAACGATTGACAGTATTTCTGTTGTTGAGAGTAGGAGTTGCTGCAGTCTTTCCAGAGAGCGATATAGCATCTTTACCAACATTTTAGAAAGGCATACTCTTTAACTAGAATGTTTACTTCTGAGAATTTATGAAATAACTAGATATGCATAAAACATATACGAACAAGAATGTTCCTGACAGACTTTACAGTATTAAAGAATTAGAAACAATGCTTATCGAAATTGAACAAGTGAGCATACAATGAAATGTCATCATGCAAGTTAAAATTGTGTCCAGTGGAATTCGTTGACATAAAAAGAAGTCCTCCTTATTTTAAATGAAAAAAGAGGTACAAAACAGCATGGATGATCATGGTATAATCTACAGCATGGTTTAAAATATGTCCATGAATGTTAACATATTTGCTGTATATCTGGACACTACTTATGTTAACAGTGATTAACTTCAGATGGTTAAGTTGCTCCACATTTTCATTTTCTTCTTTATATTGTTTGGTTATATTATCTAAATTTCTTACAATAAACGTGTATTAATAAGAAAAAGTAGTAAAGTTATTTCTCTTTGTTTGAAAAATACTTAATGGTTTTTTTTTTTTTTCAAGCAAAGAAATGGAATCAAAATATCATGCTCCCTCCGCCCCGATGAATGATGACCGTCTTGGAGTCTGCAATAGCATTATTAAGGTTAGTTATCAACAAGCTTGATAAAATCAACTTTTACAAAAACCTCTCTCATTTTTGCAAGAATACCGGGGAATTTTAATGCTATTTGGAGCCTTGTTTACAACATATTTATAGTCTCCAAAAAAATCTCTCCTTCTCTTTAGGCTTTTAGTACCACTTGGGAAGCAACGTAGAGTAATGGGAAGGGGGAAGTAATGGGAAGACAGCCTCCCCCTTGCCCCCTCCTCACTGCCCCTCCCTTCCCCTTGCCCCACCAATTGAGTATATTTTTGAGGACACTGTTTGATTAGCTACTTCAACTCAGATTCAGTTTAAGGAATACTTCTGGCTTTACAGTGTCTGAAATATAATAGGTGCTTTGAGTATATGTTTAAGTGTACATTGAAAGACAATGCAATATTTGGATCTAAATGGCTATGGTTGTCTCCCTCTTGTAAGTTACTAGCTCCTTCCAAGTTGCTACAGGCAGTCTCAAAAATTTACATTTAACTCAGGTTGTTCAAATGGCCTGAATGCCTTGGACATTTATCACTCATTTATATGAAGCCATAAAACTTATTCCCGAGAGGAAACTTTGCTCTGCTGTTTGGACACAGCAATAAAAACTTCACCATTAATGGGCTATAGGGCATAAGTTTAGCTTCATTATCTGTGCAACCCCAGCAGCATCAACTAGATTGCAGAAAGCACTGCGACTCTAAAACTCTTCCCATACGCAAAAAGAAATTATAATTTAAAAACTTTTACCAAGGATTTTATAAGATATACTATCGAAGTTACCTTACTGATAACTGATAACCAAAATAAGAGTTAATGGTGATCACTCTGGCTTTTTTTCCTGAAGGCATTTTCCTGACTATGGAGTCGGGAAAGAGAATCCAAGTAGAGCAAGGTAGACTATGAGGACACAGAGATTGGGGAGTCTAAGGCAGCTGGAATTCGTGTAGCAAAGGATGTAGAGGAGAAATTATTTTTTTAAAAAAGAAAAGAGCTCAAGAAGTCTTCATAGAAGTCCCCTTGAGTCTGTTTCTGAATACTAAGCTGAAATTCACAGGAGGAAACTTCACAAGGCTGGTTAAAGAATTACTGGGAAGCTATAAACTGAAAAATTACCAGAGCTCGTGCAGAGCAGGGAGACATTTGCGCTCCAACCAACTAAAGTAGAGAGACCTTGTTGAACACCGGAGGCACTTGGTAGAAACCCCAGGAGGATAATCCTTTAATGGTAGGATTAAATCCTTAACTAGCTCTAGAGTAAAGCCTAGCCTATCTCCACCCTAACAAAGCTTAAAAACAAGATTCAAAAGGATCAAGTCAATCTACAAGGAAGTTAACTTCAGAACAAGATGCAACACTCTTCAAAGAAAAACTTAAACATCCAGACATTTAAAACCTAAAATTCATATTGTCCAGCATCCAATAAAAAATTGCTAGGTATAGGAAGAAGCAGGAAAAGGTAATACATAAACTGGAAGACAAATGAATCAGTAGAAAAAGATCAAGAAATGATGGAATTCACAGATAAGGACTTTTAAGCACCTACATTAAATATGCTCATGGGTTTAAAGAAAACATGAATATGATGAGGAGAGAGATGGAAGCTATAAAAAGGATACAATTGGAACGTTTACACTGCAAAGTGCACTATCTGAAATGAAAAATTCACTGAATGGGCTTAAGAGTAGATTAGAGGGCTGGCCCCGTGGCTGAGTGGTTAAGTTCGCGCGCTCCGCTGCAGGCGGCCCAGTGTTTCGTTGGTTCGAATCCTGGGCGCGGACATGGCACTGCTCATCAAACCACGCTGAGGCAGCGTCCCACATGCCACAACTAGAAGGACCCACAACAAAGAATATACAACTATGTACCGGGGGGCTTTGGGGAGAAAAAGGAAAAAATAAATAAATAAATAAATAATCTTTAAAAAAAAAAAAAAAAAGAGTAGATTAGATACTACAGAAGAAAAGATCAATATATTTGAAGACATAGCATCAGAAATTATCTAAACTGAAGCACAGAGAAGAAAAAAAGACTGAATAAAATAGAGCCTCAGTGATCTGTAGAACAAGCAAATTTACATATGTGTAATTGGAGTTCCAGAAAGAGAAAGAAAGAAGGAAGAAAAAAATATTTGAAAAAAGAATGTCTGAAATTTTTCCAAATTAGATGAAACTATAAACTCATAGATCCAAGAAGCTCAACAAATCCCAAGAAAGATAAACACAAAGAATATTACACCAAAGCACATCTTAATCAAATTGCTGAAAACAAGTGATAAAGACAAAAATCTTTAAAGCTGGCAGAGAATAAAAGACAGTACTTACAGAGGAATAAGCTTAAGACTTCTCTTTAGACACAATTCAAGCTAGAAGAAAATGGGTTTCATAGTGCTAAAAGAAAAAAAGTCAACCTGGAATTCCATATTCATTGAAAATGTCCTTCAACAAAACAAAATGAAATAAAAACCTTTTAAACAGAAGTGGAAAAAATTTGTCACTGAAAGACGTGCATTACAAGAAATATGAAAGGAAGATTACACTAGATAGAAATCAGAAGAGTTAAATATGTAGATAAATATAAAATAATCTTTTCTCTTTTTAAAATTTCCTTAAAAATAATTGACTCTTTAAAGCAAAAACAGTAACAAGGTATTGTGAAGCTTATAAAATGTAAAAGTTAAAGGTGTGACAACGATAGCATGAAGCATGAGAGGGAGGAAACAGGAGTATACTGTTACAAGAGTCTTCGTTATATGTGAAATGGTACAATATTATTTGAAGGTAGACTGTGCTAAGTTAAGATGGATGCTGTAAATCCTAGAAAAAATACCAAAACAAAGAGGTACAGCTAATAAATTAGTAACAGAGATAAAATAGAATATTAAAAAATACTTAACGTACAAGATGGGAAAAAAAGAACATGGAACAGATGTAACAAATAGAAAACAAATAGAAAAATTGTAGACAATGCTAGCCGTTTCTTTAATTACATTAACTGTAAATGTCTAAATACCCCATTTAAATAGCAGATATTGTCAAATTAGATTTAAAAAAGGAAGACTCGATGCTATCTACAAAAAAAGGTATTTTAAATAGGAAGACTCAGATAGATTAAAAGGATGGAAAAAATATAGACCAAGCCAACACTATTCATAAGAAAGCTGGAGAGGCTTTATTAATATCAGAGAAAATTGACTTCAGGACAAGGAATATTAGCAGAGATAATTGTCGAAGCTGGGTAATAGATATATGACAGTTGGTTATACTATTCTCTCCACTTTTGTATGTGCTTGACATTTTTCATAACAAAATACTAAAAATTGAAAGAGGAGAAATATATGTTAAAGAAAAGGTTTTATTTTTTCTGTGTAGATTGAATATACCCATCACTTGTTTCAGCTACCTATTTTGAAACAAAAATAGCTTTTTCTGTGGGTTTGCATTACCAGCCTCATACCATAGAGATCTACTCTTTCCTTTTTCTAATACTCTAATTTCTTTTATAATGATTATAATACTACGTTTTTGAAATAATGATATCTAGAAGTACTAGAGAAGGTTAATAATTCCCATGGTGAATATAGATATTAGGCTCTGGAAAGCTGTGGGTGGATTTCAGTTTTATTGAGTTTCCAGAGTTACTACATAATTGAAACACTATACATATTACAATTCACATTTTATAGCTATTTTTTCAAATACTCCAGAAGAGAAAAGAATGTTTTCCACTATTAACAGAATATTTTTCTTTTTTTTTTTTTTTGCAAAAAATAAAAGCAATTTGACAACTGCCAGATTGAAATTGGCATATATTTTACATGACAATAAAATATTTCACAGGGAATTGCTATAAATGGCATCTAGCCCAGAACAGAAAAGATTTAGTCATCTAACTTCCATCCTCTCTATTGTTATTTATCACCCTTACAAGAGTTTCATACAGTTTATCACAAATAGGTATTACTTCCACCCTCAGAGAAGGTTTTGTAGATAAGCCTCTAGCCATTATTTTCATATTCAGAAGTCAGAAAAATGTGTCTATATATATTCTTCTCTAATTCACTTCAGTCAATAAATTTCCATCGGAAACTGAAAGATAATATTAAATGGAATTTTACCAGATATACCATATTAAGCATATAGAATTTGTGTTATAAATTTGATATCTGATTTTTTATGGAACTATGCAAAGCACTTACACATTGTAATACACTAATGTTTATTTAGCAACTATCATGCGCCACTTACTTTCATGAACACTAACACAGTTGCATTTGTTTTAATTTATACTCTGTTTCAATAGAGATTTTAAAGTGGTTTAAAAGATACATCGAATATAAGTGGATGGCATATGTTTTCAAGCCAGGGAGTCTCTTAAAGTCTAAATCGGAACAGATAATTCATTCCCTTCCCTCTCATTTGCTTACATTGCTCACGTCGGTCACAGTTCCAGCTCAAGCCCTGTGTGTCTACCTTCCCTCTTCCTGAAATGTTTTTCTCCCAGACAGCTACAAGGCTTGCTCCCTGACCTCCTTCAGGTCTTCGCTCAATTCTTCTTCGCAGTGAGGGTTCCCTGCCCCATATTTAAAACTATACCCTCCCCCACCCTGCTCTGATGCTCCCCACCTCCCTTCCTGCTTTATTTTGATCCGTAGCATTTATTGTCATATCTTTCACTTTTGCACTTAATCCTCTCTTTCATCTCCTCATCTCCACACTCCCTAAAACTAAGTTCTGTGAGCCAGGATTTGTCTGTTCTGTTCACTGCTCTATCCCAAGGACCTAGGACAGTGCCTGGCACTTATTTGGCACTCTATGCGTATTCGTTGAATCAATTAAGAGCAACCCCCCCAAAACTCCCCTAAAAAACCCTATATGAGAAACCCTATATATTAGATATTTCACAGTTAATCTTTACCAAACACTAGGAAATAAATATTTGTAATGTTTTTCCCAGCTTCCCTCCTTTTTTTTTTTTTTTTTGAGGAAGATTAGCCCTGAGCTAACTACTGCCAATCTTCCTCTTTTTGCTCAGGAAGACTGGCCCTGAGCTAACATCCATGCCCATATTCCTCCACTTTTTTATATGTGGGACGCCTATCACAGCACGGCTTTTGCCAAGCATTGCCATGTCCGCACCCGGGATCGAACCAACGAACCCCAGGCCACCGAAAAGCAGAATGTACTAATTTAACTGCTGCACCACCAGGCTGGCCCCCCCCAGCTTCCCTCCTTTTAAGGTCACTCTCCTCCAACATGGTATGAAAGAGACACTTCTCTGGACCTCTATGCATTTGGCTCCTCATTGCCACCTGAAATTCCAAATCTACTGCCATTCCCACATGATGCTCTCATCTCCACACGAATACCAGGAAGAAGTGAATGTGGGGTGGCCTCACTCCCAACTGCTGGCTCTTTATTCCCCACTCACACACTAAGGCTCATAGAAGTTAAATTACTCATATAAGATCATAGAGCCAAGGTCTGAACTCATGTCTTACTCTACCATACTCTCCTTTCAGACTATAAAGTGCATATATAAACATACATTTGCCAACACATACATAACACAGGGAATCTAAGTTCTCAATGAGCTCGTATTTGTTGAGAAAAAAGAAATACATGAACTTATGATTTTATTTTTGATTAAAAAAATATGACAAAGATGATTGGAACTATGTTTTCCCCTTGACCTTGAAAGCAAAGATGATGTCCTGTTTTTGTTTATATCCCCAACACTAAGCACAGTGGTGGTGAGTGAAAAAGTAAATATTCAGGGCTAACCTCATGGCCGAGTGGTTAAGTTCACATGCTCTGCTGCGGCCGCCCAGGGTTTCACCAGTTTGAATCCTGGGCGCGGACATGGCACCGCTCATCAGGCCATGCTGAGGCGGCATCCCATATGCCACAACTAGAAGGACCCACAACTAAAAATACACAACTATGTACTGGGGAGGCTTTGGGAGAAAAAGGAAAAATAAAATCTTTAAAAAAAAAAGAAAAGAAAAGAAAAAGTAAACATTCATCCCCATGAATAGGAATTTACTTCTTAAATCATGAATATGGGAATACAAAGCACTCCTCTAAAATGAGGTTTTACCCTATGTGTGTGATGCAAGTTGGAAGTTGCCATAAGTATAAGAGGTATTGTGATATTTGGCAGATATTTAGCTTCACAAATAAATTAGCTGTAGATATTCAAAACAGTTCGTGGGATTCAGCCAAATGGTAAGTCTGGAGTAAAACAGACTATAAAGATGGAGAATTTGGTTACAGACACTGCTCTTTGGGCTGTGGAGAAAATCATCAGAGTCAACAAGCTAGTTTAAGATTCTGTAGGTGATTTCAAAAAGAAAGGGGATGATATAATGGTCCTTGGACAAAAAGTCATGTCAACCTGGAAATAATGCCTGGAAAATACCTGTTGAAGGAGAGGAAGGGCAGTGTGCCCAGGTGGGGTTTTATACCAGACCATGCTGGCAGGAGGCTAGAATGGGGTGGTAGGAGCTGCGGTAGGCAGAATAATGGTCCCTGAAGATGTCCACGTCCTAATGCCCAGAACCTGTGGAGACGTCACCCTATATGGCAAAAAGGACTTTGCAGGTGTGCTGAAGTTGAGGATCCTGAGATGGTGAGACTATCCTGGATTATCCAGGTGGGCCCAAGTGAAAGAGGGAAACAGGAGAGTCAGAGTTAGAGAAGGAGACGTGCCAACAGAAGCAGAGATTCCAGTGACATGCTTTGAAGACAGGAAAGGCCCACAGGCCAAGGAACACAGGCAGCCGCTAGGAGCTGGAAGAGGCCAGCAAACGGTCTCTCTTCTCGAGCCTCTAGGTGGAGCACAGCCCTGCTGACACACTGATTTTAATCCAGCAAGACTCATTTTGGACTAGTGACTCCTAGAACTTTAGGGTAATAAACTTGTATTGTTTTAAGCCACTAACTGTGAGAAAATTTGTTACAGCCATGATAGGAAACAGATACAGAAGTCCAGTTATCAGTCATTATCTCGGTCCAAAGAAATAATTTTTACAGAGGAAAAGGCTAACCAAGCAAAAGAATACATCACAAAGAATAAGATTAATACATTTGACTGTGTAAAATTTCCATACGTCCAAAGTAAAAGACAAATGACAAACTGAGAAAAATACCTGTGACGAATGTGACAGAGAGAGAAGAAATCATCTTAGTACTGAAAAAGAGCTTTATCAAATTAGAAGAAAATAGCACCCTGAGAAAGGTGGGCAGAGGACGGAAATAGATACTACCAGGAAGAATGCAAACGGGAATAAACATACGTTTAAAAAATCATCTCATTTTAAATGAAGAAATGCAAATGCAAACAAAACTGAGACAGCATTCTTAATTTACGAAACGGCAACAAACGTTTCTTCCTTAAATCACATTCAAAGTCAGCAAGAATTCCACCAGACTGTCAGTCTTAGGTAACGTGGTGAAAGTATTTTATTATGAGTTCTTTATGAAAAACATTCGCTAATATGTATTAAAAAGTGTTCGCAATCTGATCCAGTGACTCTATGTTTTTAAGAGATTGGGCTGGTGGCGTCTTTCTGCCCTCCACAGCACACCTCACCTGGCTCCTTCTCCACGTCGTTTATGGGTTAGATCCGGGGGCTCCCTTGGTGTCTAGTGTCTAGTTGAATTTAGCCAATGGGGCACTGAAAGGAGAAGAGAGGGCAAAAGCAGTGAGACTTGGGGGCATTGACTTCCCACCACCTGTGCCCTCCCTGCTGCCATGGTTCTGTGAGTGGCTTTGTTCCTCTCAGCCAGTGGTCCTCAAACTTCAGTGCATCAGGATCATCTGGGGGCCTTGTTTCTGATTCAGTAGGATGGGGTAGGGCCTGAGAATTTGCATTTCTAATAGGTTCCCAGGTGTGGCTGATGCTGCCAGTCCAAGGACCACACGCTGAGAAGCACAGCTGTAAGGCTGCGGTTGCCTGTGGGACGGCCCCCACTGCTCAGCTGAGGCTTGCTCTGTGCTCCAGGAACACTGCAGGAACACCCGCTTCTGCCTCCCATCCAGGCACAGTGAGGGGTTGTTTGCCAATCCTTGAGTACTTCCCCATTCCTTGTGGATTCCTTTAACCCTCCCCACCCTTCATTGAAGTCGCTTGACTTCAACATTTTGAATATGCCATCAGGTTCCTGCTAAAATCCTGGCTGATGTAGGGATTTATCCCAGGGAAATCATCAAAGATGCAGACACAGACTCAGGTGTAAGAATGTTCTTTGCAGAACGATTTACAATAGCAAAAACATTAGAAACAAGGTGCATGGTCAACAATAGGGGAAAGACGGAATATCACACAGTTACAAATGACCGACTGCATAGCTATATTGACTAGCCTGTGAAATGCTCATGATGCGATGTTTACATGAGAATAAGACATAAAACCATGCTTAGAGAATGCTCCCAATTTTGTAATTTATGTGAAGATGTGCTTGTATGAGGTTCAAATTGAGCTGAAATTGGAAAGAGAGAGTAGTTTCAATGACAATGACTACATACATAGAATTAATACCATGTTAAATATAATATAAATATTTATATTTAATTTAAATTCCATTATGTTGAATTAATAAAATTAAAATGTGCTTAAATATAAAGGAATAGGAATTATATGCTAGCAATGGAATTAATTCTTATTCACCACCTTTCTATACAGGCCCTTTGAAAAATCTGGACTCAGACAGATTTAATCCACAAATACTTACTGATTGCCTGTCCTCAAGGAAGTCACAGTCTCGGAGGGCACATAAGACACAAATAAACATGCAATGTGGAGTAATAGAAAGAACCCAACTTGGAATTAAAACACCAGAGTTTGAGTCTGGGTTTTGACACAGCCGCAATCAAGCAGTCCATGAAATCTTGTGCAGGGTATGCAGGAGAACTCAAATTGTAAAGCTCAATTATCTAATCAGGGCATCATGAAAAGTTGCTTCATCAGAGTCTAAATGTTCTGTGACAGGCATAGCAAACACGTGTTTACCAAGTGGAGTTAACATTAGTCTATCCTTTTAATTCTTCTCCGCTTCAGAACAGACGTACACATTGTTCTCCCTGCATGTGCATAATTACAAAAGTTTTGGCATCTTGTTTACATTGAGAATGAAAATTAAAAAAACAGAGGGGATGGTTAAAACAGAGGTGGGATTATTCTTAGAGAGAAAATAGGCATCTTATCCCTGACTCTCAATTAGGGGGGGTTTCCACAAGACGAACTGGAAAGGCTGCTTAGGAATCTAGCTTATGGAAAACAAGTAATACCACATTTGTATAAGCCAGAGACAGAATGATTTTAAAAATCATACAACAGAAAGAAAGGCAACCCAATAATGGACTAACGGCATCAAACTGATAACGACTGAGGGGTTCAATAAAATTTGAATATAGGATAAAAAGGAAATATTGAATTGAGGAAAATGAGCAACCAAGATTAGCAGTGAGATTTCCAATTCTGACATTTTCCTCTCTGATTGCAGCACCCTGGTATTCTAATTATTCCAATCTTTCACTCTCACTGAACCTACTATTTGTCCAAATAATAAATTCAATTTTTTACTTCTCCCTGTTCTTTCCGAATATCTACCTTATGCAACTTCATTTCCCCTCCTCCCCAGGGTGCCTGTGTGCACAGCCTTGCCAGTGGTGTTCTGGTCTGAACACTAGTCTGACTCTCTCATCAGTAGGGAAACCTGTGCCACAGCCTGCTTGCCAGACTCGGAGCTGAGGAGCCCCTGACATCTGTTTTCTCTGCTCATACTCAGAAGCTGCCAAAGCCAGCTGTAGAATCACAAACTAATCTCACCTTCTGCCTAAAACGGTGACGAAGGACATAACGAAAAACCCCTCCCAATTTCCTCCTACTCAATCAGGAAAATATATTAAGTGAGGAAAATCTTCTATGGACACACAGTAAAATAACAGATATAGTCAGATTCTGTTAAGAAACAAAATAATCCTGCCTATCTTGCTGTGAAGTAGGGTTGAAAAATAAGAACCTTGTTCTTGTTCATTACTTGTTGCCATGTGACCATGACTCAGTCACTGAAGGCACTGACGTTCCACCCATTGTGAGCTCCCCAGGCCATTCATTATCAGGCAGGAAAGCCAAAGAATGACATTTTTAGGTATCCAAGGACTCAGAAACTAGATCGTCTTCCCAAATAAATGTCCTAAAGGCCAGCTTCAGAACCCCAACATAGTAATCAAAATCTAGATTCAAGAAAACAAAAATAGTGGCTGAAGGGATTGGGGCAACCTATAAGGTAAGTTAAATATAGAGAGATAATTTGAATTTAGACAAATAGTGTATAAATTTGTAATAAAGTTACTTGAAACAGATGATTTATACTATTTAACACAAAGACAATGATTCAATTTATGACTACAGTTGAAATGAAAAAGAAAAAACAAACACACAGGAGAGAAAGGAGAAATTTCAGCAAAGGACACCAGAACCCTGGGTTTCACATTCTAAAGGGGAGTGAAGTCTTTATGCTGCTCTCGATTTTAATGATTAGATGGCAAAAGTCTAAGAATAGTTTAATTGAAACAGGATGCTTCCCTTCTTAATTATGGCAGAGAACAAGAACAAACTAACAGTTCGTATCTAAAAAGAGGAAAGGGATTAAAACCCAGGAAGTATAAAATAAGACATCTTATTTCTGTAGCAATTAAAATGGTCCTTTACCTCTTTTTCTGCCCAATACTCCTGCGTTTTTCTGAGAAAAGCACCCCATGCTCCAATCCCCACTCTGACCACAGACTCCAAACGGAGATAACGTTTTACATGACTTTACTTTCCTGGTCTAGATTGCCTGGAAGAGAATATCTGACTTAAATTGGGTCAATCCTGGAACCTCATCATCTCACCCACTCCCTACCAGCCCCATCAACTGATCCAGCTCAAAGGCACATAGTCATCCAGCACAAACTGTGAGTGTCATACTCCTCCTCCAGGGTTCGTTCAATAGGATGTGAGTGAAAGATATTTTTTCACTTTGGATAAAAGCTGGGAAGATGTGTGGAGTGACGTGTGTGGACAAAAGTAGTCAGAAGGAGCAAAGAAGGGAGGCAGGAGACTTAGTACCAAGTCTGGCTCACTGGGTCCCTAGCTGCACTCTTGCCCTTTCTGGTTGCAGGAGCCAGTGAATTTCCATTTTGCCTAAGCTAATCAAGATGAATTTTGACATCTTGCAACCAAATACATAAATGCAAGAATTATGATTGCAAATGTAAATGAGCTTAATTCTCTTAGTGAAAAGTCAAAGACTCAGATTGGAACGGAAAATAAAATCCAGTTATTTAAAAGAAAGACATCTAAAATAAAAGACTAGAGTAAAATAATCTGCAAATACAAACTAGACAGATATATGACAAATCTAATTCAAAGCTGAAATCATAAATAGAAAAAGTGTTGACTCGTTGTGTCGATAAATAGGATGATCCATAGAAAAGACAGCGGGGCTGATGTAGCTGTTCAAGAATGTCTTCAAGGAACTTCTATATTGCTGTTTCATCACTCTTGGCGTGTGGCACTCATTCTAGCTACAAGATGGGTGCTTGAGCTTCAGACATCACTTCTGTGTTCCGGGCAGGACTATGAAGGAATGGCATTTAAATTAAGAAAGTAAAACTTTCTAGGAATCACCGGCAGACTTCTGTTTTTCATCTCATTGATAAGATGTGTATGACATAGCTATTCCCACTTGCAAGGGAGGCTGAAAATTTATAAGCAGAGCACATTGCCACCCCAAAATCTAATCTGTTACAAGAAAATGGGGGAGAAGGGAAATTCCATAGGCAACTAGCTGTGGCTGGTACACCTGTCAAATTCACGTAAACTGACCCCTCTCATACCTCTTTGGCAGTACTACAGATTATTTGGTAAAATCCTGTTGGAAAGTAATTTGGCAGTGCATATCCTACATCTTTACATCCTTCAACCCCGTTGTTAGTTGGAAATGTGTCTTCTACTCTCCTCTGATTTTCATGAGAAAGATTTTTCCTAAATACTCAGTCTCCTTGCACAGCTCCTGTCTCAAACTTCTCCAGGGAAGACAGAGTGACTTCTCGACTTAGTTTAGGGTAAGAAACAGGCATATACCATTCAGTTGTCCCTTTTTTCCTCGTGGGAGCAGTGTCTTTACAGGAAACACACATTTTGGTTGGCTCCACTATGCCTTAGGTGTTTCACAGCATTAGGTCACTGTGAGGAGGCCTCAGTTACCCACATGTGCCTCTGATTGGGGGGGGGTGGTAAGCATGCTTAGTTCTGTTACTCCAGCTGCCACTCATATAAGCCGCTTCCTCCAACTTACATTTTATCAATAATGAAAGGGATATTGAGAATTAGCTTGTCAAGTTCTATAAAGAAATGTTACGGTTTTGATTGATTGCACTGCTATCCTATGTTTAACTTTTGAAGAACTATCAGACTGTTTTCCAAAGTGACTGTATCATTTTGCATTCCCACCAGCAATGTGTATGCGTACTTATGATACTAGATGCTTATCACATATATAATTTCTACCATTCTTTGGATTGTGTTTTAACTTTCTTGATAGTTTCCTTTGAAGCATAAAGGTTTTAATTTTGATTAAGTCCAATCTATCTATTTTTTCTCTGTTGTCGTTTGTACTTTTGATGTCTTATCTAAGAACTCATTGCTTAATCCAAAGTCATGAAGATTTACACCTTTGGTTTCTTATAAGACTTTTATAGTTTAGCACTTACGTTTAAGTCTTTGATCCATTTTAATCAATTTCTTGTATATGTTGTGAGGTAGGGATCCAACTTCATTCTCTTGCATGTGGATATCCAGTTCTCCCAGCACCATTTGTTGAAGAGGTTATTCTTTCCCCATTAAATGGTTTTGACACTCTTGTTGAAAATCAATTGGTCCTGGATGTTTGGGTTTATTTCTGGACTCTCAACTCTATGCCAGTGGTCTGTATAACTATCCTTATGCCAACACCACACCGTCTTGATTACTGTAGCTTTGTAGCAAGTTTTGAAACTGGGAAATGTGAGTCCTCAGCTTTGTTATGCTTTTTCTTATTGTTTTGGCCACTCTGGGTCCCTTGCATTTCCGTGTGAATTTCAATATCAGTTTATGAATTTTTGCAAAAAAGCAGGCTGGGATTTTGATAGTGATTAAGTTGAGTCTGTAGACCAATTTGGGGAATATTTTCTGTAATTTCCATTTTAATTTCCTCTTTAATCAAGAGTTACTTTGAAAAAGTTTACCTGTCCTTTTGTTGTTATTCTATGTTTAATACAACGTGATTAGAAAGTATGACTTTGTGAGTTCTGTTGTTCGGATTTCATTGAAATCATCTTTGTTCTCTGATCCAAAATCCATTTATTTGATAATATTCCATAGTCATTTGAAAAGAATACTCCTCATATACTCATATGTGTCTTTGAGTATATATATATTTACATAATATATATATGTTTTATATATATAAATTTATATATTTTATATTTATTTTTTATATATTTTATATACATATATATTTTTATATTTACATATTTTTATATTTATATGTAAATTTTATATTTATTTATATATTATATACATGTATATATTTTATTTATATATAAATATTTACACACTTTTAAAAAATTTTACACACTTTTAAATCATATTATTCAAATCCTTATTTATTTTTGTTTACATTTATAAGGTGTTTGTTAATAGCTATCACTATGATTGTGGATTTGTAAATATCTCTCTAACAGTTTAAAAATATGTATTTTGAAGCTATGTTGTTAGATTATGAAAGTTCATAATTGTTTTACCTTCATAGTCACTTTTTTTTTACATTCCATTTTTTCCTTCCCGTGACTAGAGGGCATACTATATCCCTTCAAAACTTTTTAATACACATTAAATTTCTATTTTACTAACCAACAGTTGGAGTGAATCAGCGTCCTCTGAAGAAGACATCGAAGTCTGGTGCTCTTTCCTAATCCCTTCTATGGCCCCCTCCTTGCTACTTGACATCTTGAAATCATCTGGGATTCTACTTCTAGAAAATTAATTCTTACACTGAGTATTAATAATTAATCATAAGTATAACTTTCACGGATACCTTTACTGTGATAATTAAATAAGCTAATGCATAGAAAGTGTTTGGCATGATGCTTGGCACATGCTAGTCATTCAGTAGTGTTTGCAATGACAATGAGGATGATCAGTAACCTTTTGTCATTCTGTACAGAGCCCTTCTCTTTCTGCAAGCTCTCTTTTGGTGATCTTATCTGCAGCTTTCACTATCACTACTACCTGGATGATTTCCAAACCTGTGTCACCTACCTGGACACTGCTCCTGGGCTCCCAAGTTTAATTTTCAATTTCTATTATAGATCACTGCCTAAACGTACCACCAGAATATCAAGCTCAACACATCCGGATTAAACTACCTCCTAAATCCCCAATTTCTGTTATTGGAACAAGCATTCTACCTGTTCCCCAATCTGGAAACCTCGGAGGTGTCTTTGCTGTTCCTCTCACCTTGCCTGCATCCCTCAGCAAGATAGTTGAGCCCGATGCCTGTAGTATGTAGCTGCACAGTCAATGTTAGTCTTCTTCCTTCTCCTTTAACTTTAATAACTGCTAAGCCCTGTAAAATCTCTTTAAAAAGCTCCTTCTCTTTACCCTCCTCTTTATGACCCCCTCCTCCCAATGAATTACTTTTTGTTTAGTATTGAGTTAGACTCCCAGTTTTCCTCCTTATTTTTCAATTTCTTCTTCCTTCTGCTACCATTCTGCTTGCTTTGAACATAAGTCTAAACTCCTCAGCCCATCACTCTAGGCTTTCTACCAGCATAGGTCTGACCAACATCGCCAACTACTCTCTTTATGGACGTTATACGTCAGTCAACCTGGCACACTGGGTCCTCCTTGAAGGCCTCAAACACTTCCTGAACTCTTTGGTTTTATCCTTGGTATTCCCTCTGCCTGGAAAGCTTTCTTGAATCATCTTTGTCTGTCAAAATCCTACCTATCCTTCCAAACCTTCTCAAAAACAACCCTTGTTGAAAAATCTTGATTCACACACCAGATGTGACTTGTCCTTTCTTTAAGCCACTGTAGCATTTTGTATGCTTCTAGTGTTGATGGAAATATTTTTGCTTTAAATTAAAGATAATCATGATTTATTATCTTGACCTTTTAGCAGATTGTAAGATGTTTAATGAGCTTTGCCTTACTCATCTTTTAATTTCTGTGGGCTCTTATTAGTACAGCATATTTCACAGAGTTGGTACTCAATAAATATTTGTTGAATTTAATAAAGATTGTATAATTTAAGATAAAGAAAAAATTATTCTGAAAGCATGACCAAGGTTTCTTAAACAGACTATGTAAAATAAAGACTTGTTCAAGTACAAAAGGCTATTTTCTATACGCAAATCTTTGTTTGGAGAGTGGACTAGCTAAATATGTCTCTGAATAACACAAGAGAAGGCACACACCATCTTTGTGGTGGTAGACCTGAAGGAAACATGTACTTTGCAAGAAAACCAGACCACAGAAATAGCTGTAGCAGATCAACAGAGGTCTTTCTGAATATTTGATGAAGTACAGAGGTTGTCCTCTGCTTACAGCTTATTTCAAAATATTTTGCTCTCCATGATGCTTTTGTTAATACAGAGATAATAATAACAGTTTTCAACCACTACACTACACAGCCTGAGTAGATGTAAGAAAATATTGGAATTTAAGTCTAGGGATGCAGATTGCAGCCCAGTTCTGGAGTAGCTTGATGCTGGTTATTGGGATTTTATGTAGTAAGTAGCCCACCGAAATTTTTTTTTTACTGTTGTTTCTTGTTGCTTGTTTTTGATCCTGTGAGCACCATCACAGAGATGTGCTTCAGGAAAATCAACCACACAGTTGAGAGTAAGTAGGATTGGAAGAAGAACCT